TCCCCTTTCTTCCCCCCCAACCACACACCCACTTTTAATCCCCGGGGGTTGCAAAGCAAAGGCTCCCCGGAGACGTTGGGGTGCTGGGGCTGCAGGGACAGCTCGGGCAGAGGAAGCTGAGCTTGCACACACGACATCTGCCAGCTCCTGGCACCGCAGCTCGGTGCTTAAAGAGGAAGAGGTAAAGCAAGCCCGGACACAGCTGCGAGCTGGAGAGCTCGGTGCAAAGCAAGCGGGCAGCGAGGATTCAGAGGCGCCGCTATCGCCTCTCACCCGCACACCCCACTCGCTGCAACGGCAGAATTTAATCTGTGACAACTGTGCAAATCCCTGCGTGTCCCCGATTCCCGTTTCTCTCCCGAGCATCCGCGTGATTCCCTGCTCAGAGGTGAGCCAAGAGCCAGGGTGGGATACGGCCCCAGCAGCCGAGATGGGGCCAGGAGTTGCTTCCCTGTGGGGTGGGTGCAAGCACCCGGAGCTGCCCACGGGATGAAGGCACCCATCGCCCCAGCCTGGCTGGCTCCGTCGCCCAGCTAGCCTGGCCAACGGCCCCCCTCACTGCCTGCCACCCACCCACAGCCCCATTGCCAGCCCAGCTTCCAGGCAAGCAGCTGGACTCAGGAATGCAGCCGGATTCCTCCGCTTAACCCCTGCGCAGCCGCACAGAAAACGCCATGGCCCCACAGCACCGGTCCTCTCCACCGCTTCCCCATCACCCCTGCACCCATCCAGCCCCGCTTGTGCCCCCTTCCCTGCCACGCTCCTGCCAGCTCCCACTTCCCCTCTTTCTCAGTTTCTCCCACCGGCACTTTTCCGTGGCCACCCTTGCTAAAGTCACCACGGTGTGTCACCCCCCGGTGCCCGCTTGTCCCTCATGCCCACGGATGCTCAACTGGTAGAGCTGAAAATAAGCTGATTCGCTGCTTTTCAGCCCTAACTAAGGGCTGATTTGCGCCTGCCCAGCCCCAAACGGGCCCCCGTCCTGCAGCAGAGCCCGGGGAGGGCACTCACCAGCTCCTCCAGCTCGGCCAGGTGCTTCTCCGTGATGATCTGCTGGCAGTAGCTGTTCTGCTCCGTCTCATGGATGCTGCAGACCAGGAGGAGGAGGAGGGACGACAGCAGGGTGCAGCGGAGCAGGCACACCTGAGCATGGCAGAGCAAAGGCTTGGAGTAGGGCAATCC